AGTTCTAAGACAGATAAACTTCAAAGACTTTCCCTTTGTGATTAAATTAACTTCCCAATTGGTTAAGCACAGCACCAGAGAAGTCAACAGGATCACAAGAGCCCAGATTCAGGAGATACCGGTTCAACTGGTCTAACGGCTGCAAATTTTAGAGACTGCTGAGTTAGAGACTGGGGTGCAGATTTAAAGTAAACATACAGGATTTATGTACCTGAATCAGCCAACCCAACTCAGGAGAACCCCGAGCAACACGTATTAAGATGAGCAAGTTTGGGCTTTACTCATAACCACCTATTTTCTGTAATTCTTACTCTCCATAATGTTCACACACACGCACGCACACACACACACACACACACACACACACACACACACACACACGGGCACGGGCTTTCATACTTTGTTTATAAAATAAATGTTATTACATCCCATAAAATTCCCTTTCATGTGTTTCCCCCAGGTACATTTTTAAGTGCACTCTTTTTTATTTTATGAATTCTTGCTATTGTAGTGGTGCATTTGTTTTATTTTATTTTAGTAAAAGAAGAACTTTTCATTTTATCTGTACTCATTCAATGGTAAAATTAAGGAAATATATTTTGAGATTCTATCCCAGGTACTGGATGGAGATTTTCTACATAGTAACACCTTCTAAAACAGGAAGTACACTTTTACAGATGAAAAAACTGGATTCAAAGCAATTGAGGGAATGAGGCGGGAAGGTAGACCTCCTATAGGATGACAGGAGAAGGGTCTCAGGATGGGAGGAGGGGAAGAGAACATCACGCCATTTTGCAAGGAGACGTCAGGTCCGGAGGACATCCTGTTACTTGCTGCCCCTGACAGCTCCAACTGCAAAGGCTCCGTAACACCTGCTACTGTTCCTAGCAGCTTCAACCATAATATCTCTTTCTTAGCGATTCCTACCCCTAGCAAAAGCTAATCAACAAATCTACCCTTTTCTGTAGCACTCTCTCTTCTCCAAAAGACATCCCCAAACACAAGATTGGACCCATCCTCTTAATTGTGTAAATAAGGTATTAAGATTGTGCACTTCTGATTGGCTCATTGAACCCAGAGCCTAAAGAGCTTGGTAGGTCCAAGCTGGCATTCCTCATCAAAATAGTTCCCACCAATCCCCTGCGCTCGGCCACCAGGTATGCCTTTAAAACTCCCCAGACAACAGACACTCCTTGGTATCCTCCTCTTGGGACCCCTCCCTCTTCAGGAGCTCTGCTTGCTTTCCTTTCTTTCTTTCTTTCCTTCCTTCCTTCCTTCCTTCCTTCCTTCCTTCCTTCCTTCCTTCTTTCTTTCTTTCTTCTATTACTCTGATAAATCCCTTTACTTTGCTCTCCCCCTTGTGTCCCTGGATTTCATTCTTTCAAATTCGTGAGACAAAGAACCCTCACCTGACATCCACACTCCGTGTTACACAATTAGGTGCTTGGCCCTAGTTTCAAAATTGAGACAATTCAGGAATTGATAATTCATGTCTCTTTCATCAGATGGGATTCCTTTCAAGGAATAATTCAGAAAGAGAATAAAATCATAGCTTTTGCAGGTAAATGGAGAGAGTTGGAGAATATCCTGCTAAGTGGAGTAAGCCAATCCCCAAACCCCAAAGGCCGAATGTTCTCTCTGAGAAGTGGATGCTGATCCATAATGGTGGGGAGGGGCGCGGGAAGAATGGAGGAACTCTGGATTGTGGAAATGGAGGGGAAGTGGGGAGGGGGCATAGGGGTAGGTAATGGTGGAATGAGATGGACAGCATTACCCTGGGTACCCAGTTTAATCACAAATGGTGTGATTCTACATCATGTACAACCAGAGAAATGAAGAGCCGTGCTCCACTTGTGTGCAGTGAAACGAAATGCATTCTGCTGTCATGTTTAACTGATTAGAAAAAAAATTTAAATTTTAATATAAAAAAATACATCTGGAAAGGTGAACACCATCGAATTAGCAATGGATGTGTCAGTGCATGGGGTTATGGACATTTTCACTATTGTTATTATTTTATAATTTACCTGTAATGATTATGCCCTGTGCTGATATCATAAAATAATTTAATATTAAAGTAATAATTTTTTAAAAAAAAAGAATGAATGAATTCTAGATTTCCCCTAGCACCTCACCGCCCACCCCCCCACCAAAAGCTATTTTCCATTTACTCACAAAAAAATTATCTGATAAAGAAAGGGGGAAATATGACTCTTTAAATGATTGTTAGTTTTTTCCTAAAAATTTGCGAAAAAACATTAACTGGTTAAAGAACAAACAATGATGGAAAGCTCTCTGGATTATATTGGTGAGAAATTCAGGATAGGCAAACTTACCAGGTATCTGCTTCCTCAATTTTTATAAGTTTCTGCATTGTTGATTTTTATTGAGGGATTTATTGAAACGTCACTCGGAAGTGTGTTAAATCTGTTTTTATTTAGACCACTAAATATCCTTTCACATTTGGGGCTGTGGTCTGGGCAGGGCTCCAGATCTCAGTGTTGCAAAATAATTTAATGTGTCCTTTGTCCTTATTTTTAGTACCTCTTAGGGTCCACTGCCACATCTTGTTTATAAATCCTTTCTAATAGGACTCAAGAGAACCAAGTTAGTTCATAGAATAGCTACTAAAAAAAAAACCCCACCATTTCCTAAGGTCCTACTTTATGCTAGGCACTGTGCTTCTTGTAATCCACTTCATCTTTCAATCCTTACGCAACTCTATGAATTAGGAATCATAACCATTTTATAGGCAAAGAAACAGGGTTCAAATAGTTTATCTAAGGCTTCACACCAGGTAGATGGAGGTAGCTTTTCCAGTGGAGTC